TAGTTGCTTTTCCAATATGTGTATCAAGAGAGAAAAGTTCGACAATAAATGATAGATAGCGCAAAATATTATGCCAACCGTGAGAGCATCAATCCCACTCTTGATGTCTCCTCAAATGACTTGGGAATAAATTATAACTCTTTAACATTTGGTGTGGTTTACCAAGTGTAAGAATGTATTTGGAGATTTCTTACGCCCCAATTAACGCTATTTCGGTAGCCGGATGCTTCGACCCTGCATGTCAGGGCCAAATTAGGCAGATAGCTAGAGAATAACAACTTCGTAGCCGACGGTCAACAGACAAAGATGCTCGAGAACGTGTCTTCCCTCTTGATAATCGAACTCACGTCTTCTGCGCGCGACGGCGTTGCGCTTTACCTTTGTACCACAACGCCAACACCGAGTCCGTCAGCTATTTCCACCAAGATTTCAACAGAATAATCACGGAAAAGAAAAATGTCTGACTTATCCATCGGAAATATGTTGTCTATAAGACAAGTTATTACTCCCCCCCCCCCTATTTAGCACCTTTCATTCCCCCACCCAACACCTCCATTCTTAAGAGACGTTAAAAGTGTATTTCCTCCTTGAAGTCACCGCGAACCAACCGTGGAACCACAAAAAAATGAAACCCTCCGATATGCATGTTAGGTCGAGTGAGTTCCAAATTGAGGGCTGAAGTTTATTTTCTCCTCAAAATTTAAACATCATAGAATTCAACATTCCTGAGAACATGGCGGAGCTATGTGTTCTCATAAAACAATCCAAAATTGAGTCATTGGTTCTTACTTCTACTAAAAGCCCTTGAGCGTGTGCCCTTCACCTGAATGCCATTTTTTTTAAAGAGAGAAGTTTTTAAAGTTTGTTCCTTGCTTCCGTAGAGGGTATTGTCTGTGATGAGCACGGTCGAAGAAGTTGCCTTTAGAGATCCTGTAGTTTGGTACATTTGATGAGCAGATCGTCCGCAAGATTGTAAACTTTTTTCTATTGCCGCGAAGAAATATTCCCCATCCAGAGAAGAAAAAAAACCTGTTTCATACTTTGAACAATTTATTGTGCCAAAAGTATGTACCCTTCCTTGCATTTATTAACATGAAAATATATCATGTCATATTCGTAATCAGAGCCCCAAAATAAAAAAAAAAGGTTTACACGTAAACCACTGATTTAAGAGCATGTCAACATTTTTCGTAGGTTGCTTTTTGAATCCTTCATGTTCTGTTATTCCCACCTCGTTTTTCTGCAGCTCTTGGTACTAACAAAATAAAAACTGTTAGGAAGAGACATATTAAATGCGCTTTCTGGAACATTTGATTCAACATAAAGGCCTTAAACATCTAGCTCTAATTGGTAAAATGTAAGGACAACGATGCAGGGCGACCAGAGCAATTTGCTTGGAAAACCTTAGTTGATGGGTAAACCTTGATCATCGATGACTGTGGTTAATCTGGAACTTGTTGATAATGATAAACAGGGTCTACTATAATGAAAGTAGGCTAATAATACTAGTAATAATAATGATAATAATAATAATAATAATAATAATAATAATAATAATAATAATAATAATAATAATATAATAATAATGACAATAATAATATCTATCTATCTATCTATCTATCTACCTATCTATCTAACTACCTATCTATCTATCTATCTATCTATCTATCTATCTATCTATCTATCTATCTATCTATCTATCTATCTATCTATCTATCTATCTAAAATAATATTATATATCATTTTATATTATTGGCTTCTTTCTCAATGAAGGAGAATTCCATTCCAGACGTATCTTCAAGTAATCACGTGATATGACAGACCTGCGTGTCCTGTTGTGTCATGTGCCAGCCGCTCTGGCAGTGGTGTCTGATATACAGAGTGAACAACCCAACTGTAAGTAAAGTTTGTTGTTGCGGTTGTTGTTGTTGTTGTTGTTGTTGTTGTTGTTGTTGTTGTTGTTGTTGTTGTTGTTGTTGTTGTTGTTGTTGTTGTTGTTGTTGTTGTTGCTGTTGTTGTTGTTGTTGTTGTTGTTGTTGCTGCAGTTGTTGTTTTTGTTGTTGGCTTTTTATGTAAGTGATTTCCCGCTCGTACCGACACGATTCAGATAATTTTAGGTGGAGGTATCGATCCCGTCTTTCAGGGCCACCTGAACTAGGATCGAACTTCAGTCCCCTGTCTGGGACATTGGATGAAGCGCCTAATCCGAGAAATACCGTGTATGCTTTATAAGTACAGATTAGCTGTTGTTTTTCATTTTAACGTTACATAAATTTTATCATTACACACCTTGCTTTTATAAATACACGTACCTTGTCAGTACAAAGTGACACATAGCGCGTCATTACAAAATAGCTGGCAGTTACAAATTTACATGTAGCTTGTCCTTACAACGTTACGTGTAGCTTGTTATTACAAAGTTACACATAGCTTGTTATTATAAAGTTACATGTAGCCTGTTATAACGGTACGTGGTATTACAAAGTTACACGTAGCCTGTTACAAAGGTACGTGTTATTACAAAGTTACACGTAGCCTGTTACAAAGGTACGTGTTATTACAAAGTTACACGTAGCCTGTTACAAAGGTACGTGTTATTACAAAGTTACACATAGCTTGTTATTACAAAGTTACACGTAGCTTACCAGTATAACGTCACACATAATTGTTGTTTCACGTTTCATGTAGCTGTGTTTGGTAGCAGCTGTTGCTATATTATTTATACATAGTTTGTTAGTATAACTTTATCAAGTGTTGAAAAGTTCTTAGATTTAAAAAAAATCTACGTTACCGTACGATTGAATCAGCGTGCAATTCTTAATATTGATGTATTCTGGATGATTTTCAAATTTTGATCTTTCATTTTCGTCAATAAAACATAATGGCAATTGCTATTTTAAAAAATCAATATATTGTTTGGTGGTACATGATCTATCGATTAATAAGCTTAACAAAAACATACAACATCCGAGTGGGGTGGTCGGTACGGCTTCTTTGATCTCATTTCTTTGATCTTTGACTATTTCAAAGAACCCAGCAAGTCAGATGCTACGAAAATGGAAAATAAATGTAAAAAATATTAATATAAATTTTGTGAGTCTAAATGTCCGCAAACCGAGTGATGTTTTAAAAAAAGTGCATGTAATTCTAATAAGCCTGAAAGACTAATCCGAACCCAAACATTAAATAAATGGTTGAACCTAACCATATTTGCTTAAAAATAAGGGCTAAAAAGTTTTTTTGTTCG